GACAGGTGATTGGTCGGTTGTTTTCTCCCGAAGGTCACTGAAATTTCTAGTATGTTCTACGAGGATAGGATTTAAGAGGGCGTTCAGCTTGTTGTTGCATTGATTGTGTGATTCGACTGAGTGTATTTGTTCGTCTTGGCCTAACAGAGAATGCCTAACGCCATTGGAATCGATCTTGGCACAACATATTCGTGTGTTGGTGTTTTCCAGCATGGTAAAGTGGAAATAATCGCCAACGACCAGGGTAACAGAACGACACCGAGTTATGTGGCATTCACAGACAATGAGCGTTTGATTGGTGATGCAGCGTTGAACCAAGTGGCGATTAACCCAACAAATACAGTGTTTGATGCGAAGCGGCTAATCGGTCGTCGGTTCGATGATCCATCAGTGCAGAGTGATATGAAGCACTGGCCATTCGAGGTGACCCAAGTCGGTGGGAAGCCGAAGATTTGTGTTACGTATAAGGGTGAGAAAAAGACGTTCGCCGCTGAGGAGGTTTCGTCGATGGTGCTGGTGAAAATGAAGGAAGTAGCTGAAAGTTATTTGGGCAGGACGGTGAGTGATGCAGTTATAACAGTTCCTGCTTACTTCAATGACAGTCAGCGTCAAGCAACGAAAGATGCAGGTGCTATAGCTGGTCTTAATGTGCTGAGAATCATTAACGAACCAACAGCTGCCGCAATTGCCTATGGTTTAGACAAGAAGGTTGGTGGTGAGCGTAATGTGTTGATATTTGATTTGGGTGGAGGTACATTTGATGTGTCTCTGTTGACAATTGAGGATGGGATATTTGAGGTGAAGTCTACTGCTGGCGATACGCACTTGGGGGGTGAAGATTTTGACAATCGTATGGTGAATCACTTTATACAGGAGTTCAAGCGGAAACACAAGAAAGATATCAGTGAAAATAAGCGTGCAGTGCGTCGTCTGAGAACGGCGTGTGAACGTGCGAAGCGTACATTAAGTTCAAGCACCCAAACGAACGTGGAGATCGACTCATTGTACGATGGTATTGACTTTTACACAACGATTACTCGTGCACGATTTGAGGAATTGTGTTCCGATCTGTTCCAGGCTACATTGGAGCCTGTTTCGAAGTCTCTAAAAGATGCTAAGGTCGATAAGGGTCAAGTTCATGAGATAGTGTTGGTTGGTGGTTCCACTCGCATCCCTAAGGTGCAGAAGCTGTTGCAGGACTACTTCAACGGGAAGGAGTTGAACAAGTCTATTAATCCGGATGAAGCAGTGGCTTATGGTGCAGCAGTGCAGGCAGCTATTCTGAGTGGTGACAAGTCTGAGGCTGTGCAGGACTTGCTGTTACTTGACGTGGCTCCATTGTCACTGGGTCTTGAGACAGCTGGAGGTGTGATGACGGCTTTGATTAAGCGCAACACGACAATCCCGACGAAGCAGACTCAAACGTTCACGACGTACTCGGACAACCAGCCCGGTGTGCTTATCCAGGTGTTCGAGGGCGAACGCGCGCTGACAAAAGACAACAATTTGCTTGGCAAGTTCGAACTGTCAGGTATCCCACCCGCTCCTCGTGGTGTTCCACAGATCGAAGTGACGTTTGATATAGACGCAAACGGTATTCTGAACGTTTCTGCCGTCGACAAGAGCACTGGGAAGGAAGGCAAGATAACGATCACAAATGACAAGGGTCGTTTGACAAAGGAGGAGATTGAGCGGATGGTTGCTGATGCAGAGTTGTACAAGGTTGAGGATGAGAAACAGAAGAACCGCGTTTCTGCAAAGAACTCGTTTGAGAGTTATGTGTATGCAATGAAACAGCGAGTGGAGGGTGATGAGTTGAAAGGCAAGATATCTGAAAGTGATCGTAAGACGATATTGAACGCGTGTGGGGAAGCAATTAATTGGCTGGACAACAATCAGTTGGCGGAGAAGGACGAGTTTGATTACCATCAGAAGGAGTTGGAGAAGGTTTGTGCGCCGATAATTACGAAGATGTATCAGGATGGTGGTATGCCAGGAGGCATGCCTGAAGCAGGTGGTGCGGGTGGTGGAAGTGGTAAGGGACCAACCATTGAGGAGGTCGACTAGCCTGTATTTGTTGCAATTGATTAATTACTATTTGAATAAATTTCGATTTTATCTATAATGAGTCGTGACTTTTGGTTTTTTCTGGTTGTCGGGTGTTTGACACAGGGTGAACGTTTAGTTGCTTGGGAGTAGTGAATATCGTGGCGTAGTGTCTCGTGGCTCAGCGTAGGGCAGTGAGTGGTGTCCGTTCGGTTTCATAGTTGGTGTTAGTGAAGACTTAGTGAGTGGGCTGTTGTGGATTTGGGTGTGGCGTTTATGTTGTGGGCTGGACTGTGGTTCGTGGAGTACTTAGATGTAATTGTGTGTATGTTGGGATGAGGTTTGGCCAGTGCGACCTTAGGTGCGCGATTAGGCGATGCTGTGCAACTGTCCAGGTTAGTTTGCCCATGAGAAGTGAGTATTGTCTGACGAGTGGTTTGCGTCGACACGTAGCCCAATCACAAGTTGGACAAGACCTAATGTGTTTGCTCGGTGTAGTTGTGAAGCACTATTTCGTTTGTGTCAGTAGATATTCCGAGATGTTTGTTGGTGTGGTTTGTGAATCGATCGAGAGTACTGTTTCTGTGATGTTGTTGAGATTGCTGAGTAGTTTGTCCAGCAGAGGTAACTTGTACCTGTGGCTGTGAGTGCATTTGCTTGAGGACTCGATCTATGACTCAGTTAAGTGGGATGAGTCTTCCTGAGACTGTAGAGGTTCAGTTGGATAAGTTGACCGGCCTGCAACTGTCAGTTGGTTGGAATGTAGTATAGGTGAGGTTGACGATGCACGTGTTTTGCGCAGTAGTCTATGTTGGCGGATCTAGGATGATGAGATGTAGCAAACGGCCTTTCGGTTGTTAGGAGTGTTTATATTTCACCGAGTTAGACGATCACGGTGTGTGGAGCAACGAATTGTCGACCACTTGAGTAGTCTTACATGTAGAGGTGGATCTATTGTAAGGTATGTGTGCGCAACAACCGAAACGAGAGTGGCTGTTAACGGGACTGTTTCGGAAAACTGTGGGACTGTCATTCACTATGAGTCCACAAGATTGAGCAGATGGACAGAACAGTCTACTTACTTACTTACTTACTTACTTACTTACTTACTTACTTACTTAGTTATCTACGCCTGTTACCCCCAATGGAGCATAGGCCGCCCACCAGTCTTCTCCAACCAACTCTGTCCTGGGCATCCCTTTCCAGTTCTGTCCAATTTTTCTTCATTCCTCTCATATCTTTCTCTATTTCTCGGCGTGATGTGTTCCTTGACCTCTCTCTTTTCCTTTCGCCTTGAGGGTTCCATGTGAGGGCTTGTCTTGTGACGCAGTTCGGTGCTTTTCGTAGTGTGCGTCCTATCCGCTTCCACCGCTTCTTCCTGATTTCCTCCTCCACTGGAATCTGGTTTGTTCTCTCGCACAGTACGTTGTTGCTGATGGAGTCTGGCCAACGAATCCGAAGTATTTTGCGTAGACAACTGTTAATAAACACTTGTATCTTCTGGATGATGGCTTTCGTAGTTTTCCAAGTTTCCGCTCCATACAGTAGAACTGTCTTGACATTTGTATTGAAAATCCTGATTTTGGTTTTTGTTTGCGTCTCCGTCGGTAAGGATGCCCACTAAGGGCTTTCAAGAGCGGAGCTAGTACTCAAGAAACCCTTTATAAAAAGGCCGTGCGTGACCGGCCTCAAGCATCGGTCACGCATCCAGGTCGTTCAGACGAACACTAATCTACCTTCCCTTTCAGGTTCCTCAAGGAACAACCTTCCACGGCGTGGGCAGCCGGGAAGTGACAACCGCCTCATACCCGTAACAGCACACGATACCAAATTGGTCAAAATCAAATGCTTCCTACACCCCCTAATACCTCTCATATCTCCACGTCTAACTCTTCTCACATTCCTTTATCACACTGCACAGCTAATGCAAACGATGCGAGTTCACGAAACATTAGCTAGAACATTAGAATCTCGCTCAACCGATATATGCTGCGTCTCGGAAACGCGCATACAAGATCCTAGTAAAGTCATTAATCTGATTTCTCCTTGTCAAAATAAAGAAGCAGCCCGATTTACTCTTCGTGTATCCGGTAGCCCTGATTCTGCTTCCCGGGGTCTCGCTGGTTTAGGCATAGCATTGAGTCGTAGGGCAGAACAATCTCTCCTTGACGGGATCCCTGTAGATAGTCGTTTGTGCGCCGTCCGACTGAACGGGACAGTAAGGACTCGGAAAGATAGGGACACCCGTCGTTGCCTCTTGGTCGTATCTGCCTATGCCCCCACTGCCCGCAGTTCAGACGAGTTCTACAGAAAGCTTTCGGACCTCCTCCAAAAAGTTAGGCACTCTGATGTAGTAATAATGGCTGTTGACTTTAATGCTCAGGTAGGTAGACTAAGTGAAAATGAAAGACTCCTAGGTGGATGTTATGGTGTCGCGGCTCAGAGAACAGACAATGGCGACCGTCTGTTGCGAGTATGCTCAGACAACCGCCTATTCTTAGCAAAAGCATCTCTTGACCTGGCGACCCCCGAAGTCGTCTCAACGTTGGACCCAACTAGATCACATCGCCATCAGCCACCGATGGAGGGGTTCGATAGAGGACTGTCGCTCGTTCTGGGGCACATGTCCTCAACCTCGAAATGCAAAATGTTGCTTCAATATTGGGTTTCATCGGCACCTGAACTAGTGATAGTGATCACTTCACTTATCTGGAGAGTCTCATCAGTGTCGATGGTCTGGTGACTGACGAAATCTCAGCTCGGATACAGAAGGCTCGATTGGCTTTTGCCAACCTGCATCACCTATGGCGTCGGCCAGATATCCGTTTGCCGACTAAAGGACGAGTGTACTGTGCAGCAGTTCGCTCCGTCCTACTGTACGGATGCGAGACGTGTCCGTCAAGAGGAGAGGACTTCCATAGGTTACTAGTCTTCGATGATCGATGTCTCCGAAGCATTGCTCGTGTATCCTGGGACAAGCATATGAGCAATGCTGTCGTTGGGAAACCAGCTATAGCTAGGGATGGAAAATCAATATATGAAGTGGTGAATCTTCACCAGTTGAGGTAGTTGAGACATGTGTTACGAATGCCCACTCTGAGTCAATTAAAAACGAAAACATTACATTGAATACTCTATTTGCACACCATCTTTGAGTCGTGGCTTACAATGCTCCATCCTTCTTCCATTCCTGTTGGTACTCCATTTACTTCTTGCTTTTGCTCCATTTGCTTTCCGTTTTCCTCTTCTGACCGTGAGGCTTCTTCTTTCACGTCCCTTCTTATACTACTTATATTGTTCGTATAAGCAGCACACACCACACTCGTCTCCCCTTTAACAAGTCGCTCTCTCAGTCTTTCTGATCGCCGTACAGCCGTCTTCTTTATCAGTGTTTGTGGCTCGCCCTCTTGGCGCACCTGGAACCACCTTTGGAGTTGACTGGCATTCACGCGTTTCTGTTTGTTTCCTTTCTGGATCGTATACACTGCGCCGCGTCTCTCCGTGACTACATACGGTCCCTCCCACTTCGGGATCAGCTTACCTGACCCTGGCCCTCTTCCTGTGGTATATTTACGTTCTATACACTTCCCTTGGTCTCCCACTTCAAACGGTCTCCAGTTCTTTCTCTCCTGTTCTGACTTCTCCATGTCTGATGTTTGTTTCTCTCGCACATTCCTGATTGCTTGTCTCCGCTCTGTTCTCAACCCTGTTGTATTCCATCCCTGTTGCTGCGGCCAGGTTTTATCATGTGTTGGTAGTCTCGGCTGTGGATGATACGGCGTTGTTCGTACTCTCTTGATACCTAACTGTTTTAGACGGGACTTGAACTCATCACTCTCGAAACAGGGACCTTGATCGGTTAATATGATCTTTGGTATTCCATGGTCCGCCAAAGTGTGCCGCATTACTGCTTCAGTCACCGTCCTTGCACGTTTGTCCACCATCGGCACGGCATTTACCCATCGTGTGGCATGCTCAGTCATCACCAGCAGGTACTGGTTACCACTTGTCGTCTGCGAGAACGGTCCCATAACATCCACTGACCACAAATCACCAACTGCTGTTACTGGGATTGACTGCAATGGCGGTCGTATGCACCGATCCCCTTTCATTAGTTTACATCGCTGGCACGCTAACACATATCGTGCAACATCGTCTCTCATACCTGGCCAGAACACACTTTGTCGCAGCAAATCAGTTGTCCTTGCAATACCTGTGTGCGCTACCTGGTGACATTCACGAATCATCTCCTGGCGCAGATCTTTTGGGATTATTGCTACCCGATTCTCGTCATCATCCCGCCAGGTCAAGGCTCCGTATCCGTTCACTCTCAGTCTCTCCTTCTGCCTCAGCAACACTGTTAATTCTTTGTCTGTTCCACTCTTGTCGACATCTTCTCCCTCTTTTATCACTCTGATTACCTCTCGAAGGTTAGGGTCGGCTTTCTGATGTCGGACGAGTTCTAGGGGGTCTCCCTCTAGGCCGTTAACTGCACACGCTATCTCTGGGAGTTCGGCTTCGGTGTCCGGTCTTGACAAATAATCTGCCATTACATTTTCCTCCCCTGGCACATGCTAGATGCTTACATCTCCATTTGTCTGCCGCCTATACAGACGCAAAACACTCTTTTTCTACTGTGGAATACTTCTGTTCTGTCAGCATAAGGACATGGCTGGCATACTCCACCACTCTGTCAGACCGTCTTTCATGTATTGTCAGTGTGCCGTACTTTGTAATCACCTTCTTGCTTCTTGTATCAATAATTGCTCCTACTTCTCTCAAGAAATCTGCTCCTAGTATTGGTCTCGACAAGTTCGTAGTTACCACAAAGGGAAACTGTATTTCCGAATTGCCGATTTTCAAGATATCATTTGAGACTCCTAGGATTTGTAACACATGGCCTCCGATGGTGTTAACAACTAATGCACTCGGACTGATACTTCTACACCGCTCTTTGTCTATTAACGAAATTGCCGCCCCTGTATCAATCAGGCACACTACCTCTCGCTCGTTTATCCCTACTCTCGCATAGACCGCCCCCCCTATCTACTCCTGCCGCGACCCCCAGTTTCACAGGATATAAAGAAAAAAATGCATATGATCTTAAATGTTTACGTTTCCGTCTTGTTGGGCGATTCCTCTTCCAATACCCGGTTCCTCCACTAATATAGCATTTATTATTTCTTCCACCCTTTATTCGTAAGGCTGCCACCTCGCATTGTAATTCTTCTATCCTCTTCGCGACATCATCAGCCTGTCTCTCACATGCCACCGAGGCGACTGTTGCGTTCATCAGCTGTCTTGTTACTTTAGCCACCTGGGTGACGTCCATTGGTTGTGCTGCGTTCACCAGTCTCAACTGTTGAGCAACCTCTGCAGGCACACTTTCAATGATTTGCGACGCTAGCAGCTGTGCTTGTGACTCCTCATCCGAATTCGGCAGACACCGGCGCAGTAATCTTGTCAAACTCCACAGCCAGCACGAGTGGGTCGCCATCCACAGTCAGTTTTGCCTCTCGGAACTTCTGCAGCGCGTCCTGCCTATCCACCGGGCTGTCGAACTCCACCAGCAGCCTTTCCGGCACCACCTCCCAGTCAGCGTCCTCCACAACATCGTACACCGCTCTCGCCCTGCCTCTTAGTAGAGTCCTCAAAACCACCGCCTTCTTGCTTTTGCTCTATTTGCTTTCCGTTTTCCTCTTCTGACCGTGAGGCTTCTTCTTTCACGTCCCTTCTTATACTACTTATATCGTTCGTATAAGTAGCACACACCACAGTAGGTTGGAAGAAAGCTAGGGGAGGCCAGACCATGACATGGCAGAAATCCATTAAGTCACTGACAAGTGGACTGAGTCATGTTGGTAGATGTAGGCTATCTGGTTGGGTTTAGAGACCTTGAATGACATGGCTCAGAATCGTTTGCATTGGCGCAGGTGCATCCACTCTTTGTGTGCTTTTTAATTCTAACCTTCTGAATTCCTCATACTCTCTATCTTTCTCCTTCTAAATTTATCTTACTGAATTATACTTCTAGGATCATATCATCGCTCCCTAATCTTCTCCATTACTGCTAATACTACTATTATTGCTATCACTCTTGG